AGAACCTTCACAGACATGTACAAACTAATACACAACTAATAATTCAATTTAATTCAATTCAATTTTATTTATATAACACCAAATCACAACAACAGTCGCCTCAAGGTGCTTTATATTGTAACTCAACAATAATACAGGGAAAATAGAGAAAACTCTAATAATCACATCACACCCCTTCAGCAAGCAAAAACTCCTTTTTAACAGGAAGAAACCCCCGGCAGAACCAGGCTGAAGGATGGGCAGCCATCTGCCGTGACCGTTCAGTAATATAGAATATTATCACGTGACACTTGGAACACTGGTGCTTTGAGACCAGCAAATAAAACAAGAAAGTTGAATCGTATCCGTTATCTGGACTTCCTAGTAACACCGAAGTCCCGAAGTGCTGTCTGTTGCCCAAGAAGTTAAGATAGCTGACTAACCAATACATTTCCAGACTGATCAAATATTTTTCTGGATAAATGAAAGTTTACCTGCTGATGTTGCTACAAAGATAGCAGGAGGATCATTAATGTTCTGAGGCCTGTCTTCATAAGTGATACAACTCTCCTAACCCTATATTTTAGAGAAAGATAACACAGATCTTTTGGGAAAAAGTCTCAATACTTTTAGATGTGTGTCAGTTAAAATGATTACTTTCTTTTTCTTCTTGATTAAGGGTTAGGGGTTGTCAAAGATGATGACTCACAACTCAGAGGGTCAATATTAATGCTCTGGGCACCATTTGATATCTGAGTGAAAATTAATGGCAATACATCAAATACTTGTTGAGTTACTTCATAGAAAGCTGTCACGGTCAGGAGCCTGCTAAATGAAAAGTCTAGGGATTAACAGAGTCCTTCAAAGACTGTGAATGTCTGCATCCATCCAATAGATATTTAACCTGGACCGAAGTGCAGGAATGATGTCAGCATTACCACATGGACAGCATTACTGAAAAGAGTAATTTGATAATAATGAAATCCAAGTGTGCTTTCTCTATAAATCCAAATCACACCTACAATAATTCAAATCTATCTATCTATCTATCTATCTATCTATCTATCTATCTATCTATCTATCTATCTATCTATCTATCTAT